TTCATTGTTTTTTCTGTTACCTGAGCAAGCATCTCCATTTTATTTTCCACCTTGCAATTTTGTTTTTCTGTTACAAATTTTGGATCTTTACTGCTTTTCATGCAAAAATTATTTTTCTGATTGTGTTTTTTCTTAGTCTTTTTTAAAAAGTCTAGATCTCTATATTTTTACCTGCTTTTCTTTTCAGACTGTCTTCTTTTTTTAAACTATTTTATCTTCATCTCTGTTTCTTTCATTTGTTTCATTAAATTCTATTTTGTACATATGATAATTTCTACAGCATCACTTTTTATCTTGTGATAATTTTTTTTCCAAAATTATTTTTCTTTATATTGAGCCCTCTGTTCTCTCTCCTCCCCCCGCCAGTGCAGCAGCTTTTGGTAGGTGCAGTGTGGTGGGTTTTGTTATTGTTGTTGTTTTCTTTTATTTTTTTCCCCTTTTTTTGCTTACCCAAATTGGGGTAGTGGAGCTGTACTGGGTTTGACAGTCACTAGCATCTGCCCAGGAAAAGATATTGGTAATTTTCATGGCTATTCTCAAACTTCTATGCCTAAAATTTCCTTACAGTTCTTGTCTTCTGCAGAAACATATAAACTAAAGTTTGGGGGTTTTTTGATCTTTGTTTTTCTGCTATAACCTAACTCAGAATTCAAGTGCTTTACTCAGAATATGCGAAAGCTGGAATCTTGTAGAAGAAATAAAGCTATGTAGAACTGAACAATTTGTTTATTAACATTATCATTACTCCCCTTTTTATAATAAATGTAAACTTTTAGAAATATCTTATTATACTTGATAAAAATCAAGAAAAACAATGTTATATAAAGTAAAAACTTTAAGTCCCCTTTCCCATTTCTCATTCTTCACTCAGTCCCGCTGTCTAGGGTAACTCATTACTATTAGCAGTGTACTGTGCATCCTTTCAGAAAGACAGTATGGTCTTTCTCTCCTTAAGAAAAAAAAAGAGGCTCATCAGAACAAAATTCCTTGTATTTTATTTAAAAAGCCAAAAGCTTGGCTTTATTTATACACATTTAGCATGTATGTGCATATCAACATTACCAGTTTTGAATAAATCAGCTGTTTTCTACATGGTACATCCCAATCTCAATGGGGAAACTTAGAGATTGCTGAGATTCTTCCACATTGACAATTAAAATGTATTGTAAGAAGCATGGTTGACCATCTGTATTCAGCTCTTGGATTTTTAAAGAGAGTGTTGATATATTGACTCTTTCTGAATAAATCCTTCATATAACTATCATTTTGCATGTAAGTAGGTGTAGAAGTAGTGGTAATAATGAAGCTGTGTTTGTGCCAGTTTGTGTTTTCTTCTGCAGGTGCCTTCTCTGTTGTTAGGGTTGGTCATACAGGTCAGATAGATGCTGAGACTAGCTTCTCATCAGGCTTACAGGTGTGTTGTACATTGATAAAGATTGGGGATGCTGTTTATTGTATGTAAATTGTACCTCAACAGAGTTGACTTTTTAAAAAATCCTACAGGGAGAGGTTGTCAGTTGCCTTCAGGAAGCAGGGCACATTTCTGAGCAGTCTGGTCTCAGTTTTTTAGCCTTTTTTTCCTCCAGTTCTTGATACGTGCTTTTTGACTATCCCTGTGTGCCAAGCCCCTCTTGTGTGGCTTTGGCTCATACTCTTCACTCTGTCCGAATTGTATTAGGGTTCTCCAGAGAGACAGAACTGATAAGATAATGAAAACATATCAAAAGAGAGTTATTATCCTTTCTTTTATGTTTCATCCATCCTAGGGTTGTGTCATCTGCAAACTTGATCATACTGGAATTGGCACATCTGATTTTAAGGCTGCGTCCCTCGATCTGCCATTTGCAAGCTGAGTTGAAGGCATAAATACTGGTGGTGTAGTTCAGTTCAAACCCCAAAGCTTGAGAAACAGGAGCCAATGAAGTAAATCCCAGTCCAAGTGCAAATACTCAAGAACATGTCTGAGTGCAGAAGTTGTGTTTCCTAGCTTAGGCAGAGAGTAAATTCACCCTTTTCCTGCCTTTTTGTTCTCTTCAGGCCCTCAACCATTTGAATGGTCTTCCTCTACCTTGATTAAAGCTATCTTTACTCAGTTTACCAATTCATATCCTAATTTTTGCCAGAAACACTCTCTTAGTTTACTAGTTCGTATCCTAATCTTTGCCAGAAATTATATTTTACCATCTATGTGGGTATCCCTTAGCCAAGTCAAGTTGACATACAAAATTAATCATTATAGGTAGTAGCCTAGTGTTGGGAAGTGATCATGAGCAAGTCTAACACTCAGGAATGAAGATCTTTGTCTATCAAGTTAGGCTTTTAATTCACAGTATTAGCGGTGGCGGTGGTGGTGGTGATGGTACTCAGGAATAGTTAACAGTAGAAGATTAATGGAAGTAGTTATAGAAGTAGTTGTAAGAGTGAAGGTTATAATAATGATAAAAGAAAATATTTATTGATTGCTTACTTAGTACTGGAAACTGTTACTTCTCTGGATTATTTCATTCAATCTCTCCCATCCAAGTACTAACCAGGCCCGACCCTGCTTAGCTTCCGAGATCAGACGAGATCGGGCGCGTTCAGGGTGGTATGGCCGTAGACTATTTCATTCAATCTCTACAATAACCCTAGAAAAAAAGGAACTACTATTATCTTCACTTTATGGATAAGGAAAATGAAACACAGAAATTATATAACTTATTCAAATACCAGAGCTTGTCACTGGTAGGGATTTCTAATGGCTAGTAGTAATCATGACTGATGAACAAATCACTGGTTAGATTTTAATCATGGACTCCTGGTGAACTCCTGGCTGGCTTACCACCACCTCTGCCTTGAACCATGGTTACCAGGCCTCCCCAGATCAAGTCTGGGCAGGTACAATAGAGGCCTCACAATGTTTGATCCTAACTGGTTTTCCTAAGCTATTTGAAACATTTTTCAACAGCAAAACCAAATGGGATCTGTAGCTTTCTCCCTGTCTCTTGCAAGGGACGAGCTTTCTACAATTGTACACATTTTGGTTCTTCCTCAATGAGAATTTTAACCCTCTTGTATTATTGCTACAGTATTTTGTAAACTTTTAACTTTTCAGGTCAGATTTTTGTATACTGCCCTTATTTTTCAAAGATTCTCATATTAAATAACTGATTATCTCTATTTAAACTTTTGAAGAACAGTCAGGATTCAGCTGGATACATAATTCTGAATCTGATTTGTTAGGTATTATCAAGCAGAAAATAAAAGAGATGGAAGTGGAAGAGGATTTCAGAGAATTCATGTAAACTAAAAATTAAATAATTATTTTAAGGTTGTAGTGAGCATTAAGTGAGAACTATAGAACATTAGCACGTTTTAAATGGATGATAAATGCCGATTATTATTTTAACCTTGGTTTGACTGAAAGAAAAACACCAGTGCCTCTTCTCTTTGTTTCCATAATCTATAGAGAAATACTCATGCACACACTCACACCGACAGACACACTAAGGACTTTATTTTTTTATTGAAGAACTGAAATTTTGATCTCTCAGTGACACTGCTCAGTACTCCCTGATCTATGCCATATTGTATTCAATGAGGAACACTGTGCCTTGACTTTTTCTAATGAACATAATGAAGTTTATGAAGAGAAAATTGCTAGGAAGGTAAGAGAAAGGTTATAAGCAGTGTTCTCCCAAAGTTGCTGAAATAAGGAAGTAAAGGAAATAGCTGTTTCCCTGGAAACTTTAATAAAAAGAGTTATTTTATTTTGGGGAGGTTTAGCAGATGTTTCTTTCTCATTTTGGAGGGAAAATTTTAAATTGGCTTTATCCCCAAAGACATGAGAGATTCCTGTTGTGAATATTTGTTTCTTTATTATGGCATCCTTTTAGGACACACTGGGTTATTTCAGTATGTCTTGAAATCTTCATTTGTTTTTATGTGAAATACTATTGTTTTCCTTGTAGGTTTCCAGGTTTGTGGAGTCTAGAGTAGTAATAATGCAGTCGTCCCTCTGAAGTAGTTTCTTCTGCACTTTGTATGCTAGGATGGATTTCACTGATGCCTATTCAGAGAATTCCTACTCAGTTTGTTACTGGTAATTACCCACCAGTCACTTTCTTCATATCTATTTTCTAGATAACAGTTCCCCAGTTTATACCTGTATTATGTATTATTCTTCCCTAAGTATATTATATTACACTTATTTACATTAAATCTCATCTTAGACCTAGCCTTCCAAATCCCCAAGTTGTCCATATCTATCCATGTACTTGATTGATCTTCCTTTCTTTTATGTCTCATCCATCCTAGGGATGTATCATCTGCAAACTTGGTCATACTGGAATTTACTTTCTCTCCAGATCATTAATGAGCGTGCTGCATAGACTAGTCCTCCTCCCTGTGGGACGCTGCTGGATATACTACCGGATGTTCTTAGTTGTAACTCTACTGATAATAATTCATTGCTTCCTTCCTCTCATAGATTTTTTTTTTTTTACCAACTGTACTATACTGTTATTCAGGCCATGACTCTACCATCTCTGCTTCCTGGGTCCTTCTCTGTTTTGTCAATCATCTTTTTCTAAGCTACAGATAAAATTCATTGTGTTCCCTTATCCACTTATGCCATTGCTTAATTTTTTAAAGAAAGACAGTCTGGGAAAATATTGCCCTTTACTAGAAATTTCTCAAAAAATTTACATGAAACAACAATGAGTCTTTATAAGTATGTTAAGTGAGAAAACATTTTGGAAGTGCTGCCTCATTCTGCCTTTTTCCATGGAAAATGGTCTCTAGTTATTTGGATTTTAAGTAAAAAGAACAATTAATTTCCCCCAGGCTGAGAAGATGACTTAAATATATGTATTGTTTTTCCTGAATGTAGATTGCACTTTCAGTAAATTATTCTCCTTCCAGGTGGTTTTCCAGATGAGATACAGTTCATTTGTCAGAGCATGGTGAAGAGTCACATGATTTGTTTATTTTTGATGTTATATTTTTTTCTTTATTTTCAGGAAAAAGAAGAAGTGGAAGGGGTATCAGTGGGTGCCATACTATCGGACTATCAGCGTGTTCGGGTGGAAAATGTGTAAGAGAACAATATTTGTCCCATATTTAAGTACTTGTGCATTTAAGAATGTGAATGAATAAAATAAAATTATATCCCAATAATAAATAGATATGATACTCTATATGCCCTGTGGAACTAACTGTATGTATATATCTAAGTAACAAAAGCTACACTTTTACTTTTTTTGTAATCTTTCATGACACATGGAGAAAACTAACTTACCCTAAGGAAAAATACATTATTTATAATAAAAAGTTTTGGCAAAGATTTTTAAAGTCAGATGTATTATTTTTAATTTTTCCTTATTTGAATGAGTATACCCTTTTAACCCCTTTTAGCTCATCATTTGTAATAAAAATCAGGAGCTTGTAGAAGGAATGCAGTGATATCTTAAAGGAAAAGAAGCTTAGTAAGGAATCTCCCCTTTGGTCCTTAGGATTCATTTTTGGGCCAAAAATATTTATGATTTAAATAATTACAAAGTCATTCAGCTTTCAAGGAATTTTTAGGTTGTTACTCTCCACTCTCCCACCCCTGCAATATAGCACTAGAAAGATACTCTCTGTATCTGCAAATACCAAAAAAGTTCATTTCATTATCTGACCAGTATTAAAAAATATAGGGCCAAATGATAATTAGTTAGGATTGATTTGGCAAAAAGCGTGAATGGATTTATTCTTTTTAAATTTATTTGGATAGGTATAATATTGTTTAGAGGCTTGTATATAATAATATTAGAAAAAAGTGTGGACTCCAATATTAATCTTAAGCAAAACCTAGCCCCTAAGTAAATAATTTTGCTATTCAAAAGGGTGAATAGAAATAAGAGCTGTATTTATGTAATTGTTTTATATTCTTGACAAAGAAACCTTCATATTGACTCATAAAAAGAGTGTAATTGATGGACTCGAACACTTTAAATTTTTTATCTTATTTACTTTCTGTAATTACACAGTGCATTTAAGGCAGTTAGAAATGCAAAATTTAAAAAGTAAATGACAGGAATGCAAGGCAAAGCATGATTGTGTGAAGGGTGATGTGACTCATGTTTGGGGGTATATTGGAGTCTCTGGAGAGTGGCGATGTAAATGGAGGAGGTTAAACATGTATTTTGGAGATTTTCTTAACATTCTGCCTGTGTAGATTTAAGAACAACTGAACTGTAGATGGATCTGAATTCTATATCCCTTAAGACATACTTTAGAAATAATAATATTATTAACAGCTCTTAGGTCATCTTCTCTGGGAATTATTTAGCTTACAAATCTGTTTTTTAATAAATTCAAACCCACGCGGTTGATGGGTAGCCAGCCCGTACACAGCGCTGACATCCGTTGATGAAACTTCAGAAGCCAGGTGAAAGCGTGCTGTTGGCTGGGAAGCTCTCTGGAAGAAGGCACACAGTGTGCTAATGGATAGAGGCAAGACTGTCCTCAAAATGCCACCTAAGGGTCACTTCAGCACATGGTTGAAATGTCCATTTTATACCATAAGCATATCTGGAATAATTTTATCCTTGAAAATTTTAAAGCAGCATCATTGGGAGTTCAATGGTCTACAAATTTAGTTTTGAATTAGCCTGTCTTCAATCATTATATTTTCAAGATATAATGCATTTATTTAATGTCACAAGCTCAATGCAGCAGTGATGTACAGAGGAAATATATCTGAGGTGTGATACTTTGAACTGTTGAAAAATTTAAGTAGGTTGACTTAAGTCTGCAAATAGTCAACAGTTTATGGATATCAAAGTAACAATCAAGAATTTTGCAGTAAGGACATAAAGGAATAACATTTTTTTCATTAAACAAAATCTCCGCTAAAAATGGCAGAGCCTGGTTTGATTAGTAGGCCTTAAACGTAGGTGTGAGGACAGCAAGAACTGTGATGCTGCTGTTACATCGGGAGTTCTGGTTTTACCGGTTTTGTATTAACCTCCTCAACGCTGATCTGTATGCCCTGGGACACTTAACAGAGGATAATTATATAAAACAGTCTCTGTGGTAAGGAAGGTTTTTGTTTCTTTGAAAGGGTATACGTACATGAAAAAATAGTGGATAGATTTGGCCGGATTTTTAAGGCCATGGATAAGTAGATGAGCAAATGTGTGGTACATTTACTAAGTTGGGGTTTTCTGAGAGTGGGAGAGATGAGTGTGGGCTGGAGTAGTCAGCCAGGTAACCTTACCGACTTTAGGGATGACGGGTTTTAGAGATATAATTCTTGTTTGAAATCTGTCCCGTTCAGCCACATACTGTGTGACCCGGGCTAGTCACTTGGCTCTGACTACCATTTATCGAATACCTGTTTGTCCAGGCACTGTACCACATTCTTTATTTATATTACTTTTAATCAATTACAGTCCTTGAAAAACTGCCATTTAAGCAGTGGCGTGAAGCAAGTGAAGAAGGCAGGGAGCATGGCCTAGTATTAGGCAACAGTGAGGAGGGTTGGGGTGGCAGGTGAACTGAGGGGAGGGTAGTAGGAGAGGCAGGGTGAGAACTAACCGTGCAGGTCTATTGTAAGAACTTTTACTGGGAGGGACGAAGAGGGTTTTGAGCAGAGGAGTCCCGTGATCCGTTTCATTTTTAAAAGGGTAACACTGGTTCTTTATGGGATATTGATTTTGAAAGGGCAAGGACAGAAAGAGGGAACGAAGTTAGTAGGATATTGACATGAGAGGTAATGGGGCCTCCCTACCACCAGGCGTTAGTAGTGGAGCGGTGAGAGGTGATCACAGTCTGTGCTGTCGTGGGTTGAATGAGGAACGTGAAGAAAGAGGAGCGAAGGGTGCCTGTGCGTTCTAGTCTCTTCACCATCTCAAGAACTTTGAAAGCGAGTGTATTTGTCCCTGTTTATGAACTAGGAAACTGAAGACCTAGAGCTTAGTTGTTGTTTTTTTTCCCTATGAATCACAAATGTCCTCTTATTTTAATTTTCTAATTTTCAATTACAGTTCACATTTAGTATTATATTAATTTCAGGCATACAGCATAATAGGTAGGCTTTTATATAACTTACAGTGTGAAACCCTGTAAGTCTAGAATGTGTCAGTCACCATGCATAGTTATCACAATGTTACTGCATACGTCTGACTAGCCGAAGTCTTGTAGCTAGCGAGTGCAGAAGGTTTCAAGCCCAGGTTTGTCCTGCCTCCAACACCCGCGGTCTTTCCACAATACCACAGGCATAGGACGCAGTGGAGAGCCGCGGCAGAGCAGGGGCCCCACCCCGTAGGCCTCGGGTACTGTTCTTTTGTTCTACTTATTTTCTTTTCACAGAGTTAAATTATTTTTAAAAAATTAGATAGTGTAAGAATAGTTCAACCATAGATATTGTAAATGTAACAACACATGATTATTTTATTAGGCATATTTTACTTGCCTATTTTGCATAGGCTTCACAATTGGAATACCCAGGGAAGGTCTAAAAACAAGAATAATTATCCATTGACATTGGGAGCTTTTTGCATGGATTTCTAACTAAAATTGATACTGCTAATTTGCCTGGAGATTTTATTTTTATTTATTTGTGCATAGCCTATGGAAATTGAACACACTTATGTTGTATATATAAACTTCATAATACAAAGCATGTTTTTAAAGCATTTTAAATGCTGAAACCCTTGAGAGAAGCATTATGATTAAAATCAATGTTGCTACAGATCCATGTGTAGTAAGATATCATTCAATTTTTTCTTTTTATTTTATAGGTGTAAAAGGCTTAATCTTCAGCCTTTAGCTTACCTTTGGCAGAGAAACCAAGAAGACTTGCTCCGAGAGATGATATCATCCAACGTTCAGGCAGTCATCATCAAAGTGGCAGCGCTGGGTATGTAGCCTGACTTCTGGGGGCGCTGTCTGTTACCACACACATAATGAGTTCAGTAATAAGCAGTTAAAATGAAAATGGCAGAAGGATTTTGCATATAAAAATGTGGAATCACAAGCTGAAGAAATTGAGTAAGGAGAAATTTTTAAATAGGCTTTTGATCATTTATGGGAGTGCTTAGTAGTGAGCCTCAACACTGTATTTTTAAGTGTTGATATTACGTAACTGCCTCTAAAACTGGCATTGTATTTTGGTCCTTTCAGTTCTGTTTATGGGATTTGGAATTCAGGTTCATAGGAAATCAGAAATACAGGTTGAATTTTTAATCCTTTTAAAAGTTGTATTTGGCACCATACTTGATATTTCCCTTGTATTTTTTTAACATATATTGAAAAATGCTAAAATAGAATGACTGGCTTTGTTTGTGTATCAGAAATAAGGAGACTAGTGGGTTTTTGTTGGGGATGGTGAGAAAGTCACATTTGAAAGAACGTCATTTGATCAGTTAGCACAGATATGACATTGTAGGCAGGTGGTAATCTGATTCAGATATGGATATTACATATGAGCACATTAATTTATGGCTTTGCATTTTTATAATTATATTCATTTTCAAGAAACCGTAGGGTTCGAGGCCAATACATTTATTTCATGAACCTATTACAGGAAATGCCCTGGAGCCTCAGGGCTCCCAAGGCCTCAATCACGTACCTCATCTGAGAGTGTTTACTCTTGTGATCTCTGAAGTAACGAGGTCTCAAGCTGTGGAATATTTTACAGACAAATTCATATTTTACACAGCTCTAAGAGAAAGATTTCATACTATTTCTCCTTGGTGAACACCCAGCTACTCTCTTCTTATTGAAGTCACAGTGTCGTCTTGAGTAGAAACCCTTATTTACAGAAACTGCAGTTGATAAAAAGAGAAGAGTTGAAGTGATGCTGTGTTCCTATTTTTGAGAAGAGTTTGCTGAGCAACTCTTATGATTGCATTTCTCATGACAGATATATCTGTCATATAATTTTCTGTATGAATCTATATAGAATATGCTCTTTCTTCTGGATTTTCTAAGATTGCCTAGTTCTGTAATGAATTTTATGTGACATCTCACTGGACAGTACACACTCAATTCCTTTTACTACTAGAGAACAGAAAGGATTAGAAGCCAGAGAGAACCTGCATCATTTGAAAGATAGATCCATAGAATATGACCTTACTGCTACTGTGGTACTGCATACTGCTACTGTAGTAACAGTATGACCACTATTACTGTAGAATGAGAGTGATAGTGTGTATCTGTTTGTTTGTGTGTGTTAGCGCCTCTATGTAGAAGTCAGAGATGTGATTAATTTTATTCAACTTTTTTGGTAAAGTATAAGCTGAGCTAATTTTTCCTCACTCTCAATGACAAAAGTATAGCTTTGATTTTTAATATTTTAGCACATACTTTCTTTTGACTACCTATAGGAATGCAAAGATGAAAGTTATTGTTGAGAACAGTATTAAAGAAAGACTTGTTGAGTGGCACATTCTTCTAAAGGTGTAGAAAAATGTAAATAGTGCATATAGGTTTCTAATCTTTATTCACTCCTTTTAAAGTTTTCAGGAAAGATTTTAAGCAAAAAAAAAAAAAAAATAGGGCAATAGGATCCTTCCATGGAGAGAGGGTTCAGCAAAGTTTTGCGGCCCTGCAGATTATGGAATGACCTTAGAAAAGGGTTGGTTCTACATGGATCTAGAAAAGTATATTTCTAACAGTTGTGTTAGATAACTCTAGTGTCTACAGGCTCTGGAACTCTTGAATTTTTCACAGAAGCAGCTTAGTATTTTTAAAGTTTCTGTTTTCTTTTAATTTTGTGTTTATTGGTTATGCTGGTGTAGTTGTTTCCCCTTTCCCTGCCTTTCCCTGCCTTTCCCTGCCTTTTTCCCTGCCTTTTTCCCTGCCTTTTTCCCTGCCTTTTTCCCTGCCTTTTTCCCTGCCTTTTTCCCTGCCTTTTTCCCTGCCTTTTTCCCTGCCTTTCCCTGCCTTTCCCCGCCTCTACCCAGGCCCATCCTCTCCCCTCCTCACACCAATCCCTGTACTGTTGTCCATGTCCATGGTGTGCCTATACGTTCTTTGGTTAATTCCTTCACTATCTTTCATCCTGTCCCCACCCCTTCCTTTCTGACAGCTGTCAGTCTATTTCATATGTCTGAGCTCCTTTTATTATTTTCTTCCTTATTTTATTGTGTTCATTAGATTCCATGTATCAGTGAGGTCCTGTGATGTTTTTCTTTCACTGATGGGCTTAATTCCCTTAGCATAATTTTTCTCCAGGTCCACCCATGCTGTTACAAAATATAAGGGTTTCTTCTTTTTTACTGCATCTTATAGTATTCCCCTGTGTAAACGTATCCCAGCTCTTTTATCCACTCATCTACTGATGGACATTTAGCCTGTTTCCAAACCTTGGCTATTGTTTATAGCAGTGCTATTTACACATATATAAATGTATTTATATATATTATATATAAATATAGTGTGTGTCTGTATGTATATATATATATGTATATATATTGTATTGGTGTTTTGGGATCATTGGGGTATATTCCCAGAAGTGGAATTGCTGAGTCAAAAGGAAGTTCCATTTGTAATGTTTTAAGGTGTCTCCATACTGCTTTCCACGGTGGCTGCACCAGTCTGCATTCCCATCAAAGTGCACAAGGGTTTTTAGACTCATTTAAGGAGCCATTTGCACATCAGATATTAGAATAGTCCTGCCTTTTAGAAATACTTACTTTTAATTATATGAGTATTACAAGAAAGCATTCTTGCTGTATAATGTTAAATTTTCATTGATTAAGAAAGGGGTCCATGTGTTTTCTAGCCTCTCCTTCCCCAGCAAGTACTTCTTTTCCCAGGAATACACACTGGAATGATGACTGATTATCTTTCTAGATCACTTTTATTTTGTTTTGTGTGTATATATATGTATAGAAATATTGTTATTGTTTTATCAACTTTTTAATACTACACAAATGGCATCATAGTCTGTGTATTGATTGGGAACTTACCTTTTTTTGAAAGCTCAACAATATGTCTTGTGGATTTCTACATATCAATAAATATGGATCTTCCTCGTGTTTTCTTCTTAAGTAATGTTTTACTAAAGTGTGGCATAAATGCAAAAAAGAGAACAAAGTCTTAGTGTGTAACTAAGAATTGATGAAGTTGATATAATTTGATGCATTTCCACAAAGTGAAGATACCTACAAAATCAACATTGCTAATGTCCTCCTCACCAGTATTTGCCAAAGGTAACAGCTCTCCTGACACTTCAAAGTAGAGATTAACCCTGCTCAGCTGGCAGGAGCATTGTCCCATAAAATGAAAGGTCGTGGGTTCAATTCCCAGTCAGAGCACCTGCCAAGGTTGCAAGTTCATTATCTGGTCGGAGCACATTTGAGAGACAACCAACCAATCAGTGTTTCTTGCCCCAGTGTTTCTCTCCCTGTCTTTCTTCCTTCCCCCCCACCCTCTCTAAAATCAGTAAGCATGTCCTCAGGTAAGGGTTAAAAAAAAACTATAGATTAGTTTTTCCTGTTTTTTAATTTAATACAATTGAATCATACAGTATATTCTCAACTGTGTCTGACTTCTTTGGCTCAACATTATGTTTATGAGATTCATCCACATTATTGAATAGAGCAGTCATTTGTTGATTCTCATTCTGGAATGGAAGTCCATTGTAGGAATGTACCACAGTTTACTGGTCTGTTTTATCATTGATGACATGTAAGTATTTTCTAGTTTGGTGCTGTTATGGTGGTGCACTAGGTAACACATTTTGGTCAGTGACGGACTACGTATGCAATGGTCCTATAAGATGATAATGGAGCTGAAAAATTCCTATTGCCTAGTGATGTCGTAGTAATCATAACATCGTAGTGCAGTGCGTTGCTCATGTGCTTGTGAGACTGGTGTAAACAAACCCATTGCATTCATTGCCAGTCATATAAAAATAAAGCACATATAACTATGTACAGTACATAATACTTGATAATAATAACAATAAATGACTGTGTTACCAGTTTACATATTTACTACACTATGCCTTTTATTGTTATTTTAGAGTGTGCTCTTTCTAACTATAAATAAGTAGTTTGCTTTTAGCAGCAGCCGTGTACTCTCATGCTTACCACGTCTCTTGATTGCATCATTTTATCTTTTGCTTGATTTAATCCTGAGTTTTGTGTAGTAACATGCTGTACAGTTTATAAAGGCTGCACCATTTAGGTTTGTGTAAGTATACTCAATAATGTTCACACAATGACAAAGTCACCTAATGGTGCATTTCTCAGGATATATCCATGTCAGTAAGTGGCACATAACTGTATAAATACTGCTATGAACAGGTGAGGTCATCCTGTACATTTTATGCCCGAGACCTAGATTTCTAGTTTCCATTTATTCAAGATGCCCAGATTTCTTTTAATGGGAGTATATGTATATATAATCTCATGCCTCATGAGCTCATGGTATTTTGAAATTAAATTCAGGACTATATGAGAATGATAATAATTCTGTAGTCCATCTGTGCTCTTTCTTTTCACAGTGAAAAACCTCTGTCTCAAGAACAGAGGTTGAGCTCCATTAAACAGAGCTCTATTTATTAGAAAATGGAATAATTATTGGGAACAAAATAAACAAGTAGCATGTCTACAATATATTCTTTCTAGTAACTGGGATAAGCTCCTTGAAAAGAAAGAACTCATACAATCTTATAAACATCAACCACAGATCTCCTGGCAAAAACAAACAAACAAAACAAACTCACTAATGGTATTTACTATCTGGGAAGAGTCTTTGTCTTGGGACTGCTTTTAGCAGGATATATCTGGTTGCTGTGATTGATCTTGGTAAATAAACCTGGAATCTTTACTTTTGGGGCATGGCTCCCTGGAACCTGTCATGGAAAGTATGCTCTGTGAAATAGAGGTGTTTCACGACTGAGGTAGC